GTCTTCGCTTCACTTCTTGATTATCTTCTTCTCAAAGGTCACGAAGTCGTTCAGCGAGTCCTTACAGACGCAGCGGAGGCGGCGCTCCACTCAGAGATGGCGGCGGCGGACGACCCCGAACTCCCCCGAGTCGGTCCCCTTCAGCCGATTCCAACTCACGGTATATGCCTTTCCACTCGCCGCCAGTTTGTACAGTGTTTTATGATTTTGTCTCTTTATTCACAGTTAATCTCCATTTCCACGCATTCCTTGTCTCCAAATATTCGACAAAACACGACATAAAACTTGAATGAATTGTTTAAAAAGAGCTATTTTTGAAACAATGTCTCAAATGTAGTAATTCTTAATTTTATTAACATTTTTAGACACTTTGTATTAATTATTTATCAATAGAATTACACACAAAAATACACACAATTTTAAGAGCTAATAGACTTTATAATCCTAATCTAATGCTTATATATATACTGTATATTGTGGTTCTGCTTATATTTCCAAATAATATTTCCATTTATTGTAATCCTTTAAAAGATTTGCATTTTTGACAAAATTTGATTGTTTTTTTGGACTTAAAAATTAAAATTTCGAGTTCTAAAATTAAAATTTGTTTTTATTTCTTAAATAAGTATTGTCAAAGTACGTTAAGTATTTGAAAATAATTTATTTAATTGTTATTTTGATGGGTAATAGATACTATTACCTATGGGTACTATTAATAGGTATACGGTATTAGAAATGATGGTTTTAGAATACATTACTATTAGAATGAATGCAAAATGAATAAACTGAATTTACTTGAACATTCTATCAAATATAATCTATAATTTATGTTTAAAAATGTATAGCTTTGTAATAGATTAAGTATAGTAATGTTTATTAAATGATTTACCGCAATGAAAAAAGATGAGACAACTTGTAATACAGTATGTGTTGATTTAGCACTTTTCAGTAATGCTTTGATTCGTGGGATTTAAGACATGAGTGAATTCACTGAACAGTAGAATCTATTTTTGATTCAAAGTTTTGATTACTTCTAAACTGCTTTGTTTTCATTTTCAATCAAAGCCTTATTCATTAATCAATGAGATGTTAACGTTTTTGTTAAAATATTTAATTAGACAATTACAAACAAAATATCAAATTACATTATATAGCGATATCTATATTTTTAAAATAATTTTTAAAACAAGTGAATTATTTTAACATTATTTTAACCATATAGCGAATTAAACTTATAATATTTCAACTTATGCTGCATTTAAAAACAATTGATATTTAATTCAATAGAATGTTAGACATTTCACTCCAGAAATATAATTGATTTAAAAACATTTGCCAACAAAAAGAAAATTATGAACAACTCTATCATTCCTATTGTTATTCTTTAAGAATCTGTTAACTAATTGTCGGAATATATCTCTAACTTGTAAGGAGTTACAGCATAAGTACAGTACAGTACAGTATAGTGCAGTGTATTAGCGGCAAAGAATTGGCTAAATATAAACTTTATTTTAAGTAATCTATTATTAGTAGACCATAAGAGTGTGTTGTAGTGTTATAGAGTATCTGTGATCGCGTTGTGTAAGACATTTATGCAATGAATTCAGTTCAGTATTGCTCTGATTCTTCACATTCTTCTCACACTTTCTCTCCGTTTGTATTCTCTTAAGAAGTACTCAATTCTTGACTCTTAAGTGAAGTCATATAAGAATATTAAGCGATTGTTGGTCTGTATAAGTGGTGCCTAATGTAATACATGGCAGTGACCGGTCGCAAACACCTGACCCGATGTGGCAAATGCTGCTACTATTGCCGACAAGTGACAACTTTCCTGTTCTCACACATAGGC